GGGTGCCAATGTAACGCACCCGGCCCCTTCCCCAGTATCCGTGTGTGTTTGGGGGGGGGGGTTTAATGTGAATTTGACAGTGGGGTGAATGTCTACACAATCTGTATCAAAAAAGCATCTGGACTCCATTAAAATGTGTGCTTTTGAAGTAAAGAAAAAAACCTCCTGAGAATGTGTTGTTTACTGATCTCAGATCAGTGCGAAGATTTCCACCTATTGTTGTATTAACAGAAGCTGCAGATTAAGACAGTTACTATTAACAGCACAACTGCAATAACGTACCGTCAGTAATAATAGTCAGTGCAAGGGTTGATTTTTGTGCTAAATGTGATTTTTCTGTTTCTACCCAGATCCAAAGGAGTCATCCTTAACATCTCCTCTGCTAGTGGCATGTACCCTGTCCCTCTGCTCACAGTCTACTCTGCCACGAAGGTATGGGTGACATCTTGACGTATAATTCAACCTTTTTATTGGCCATTTCCATTTTATTTTTGGCCTATTGTTTTAATTGATTTGTGATTCTGTGTGCAGGCCTTTGTGGATTTCTTCTCTCGTGGTCTGCAGGAGGAGTATAGACGTCAGGGAATTATCATCCAGGTATGTGTGCTGGTCTTATCTGCTCAAAAGTTAAAAAAAAAAAAGTTAAAAAAAGAATATGAAGTCAACAAGTAGTATTTTTAGATTGTTTTTTTTTTAATGCTACGGTTCATGAGCGATGCCTCTAAAATACCAATTATAGCTTTATTTTTTCCCCACATATGCTATTTCAAGGATTTGTTGTACTCGTATTTCTTTTGCACCACCTGGTGGTTGTACAAAACATAACAGTTTCACCTCACCAAACCCAATTGAGTGTTTCCAATTGACAGTGCTGGCCATGATTAACCCGTTATATATATATTTTTCCATAATCATAGGGTCTAAAAGTGACGTCAAGTTTCACACCAGTCAGAAAACCCACCCTGAGAAAGAGCACTGTTTTTACAAAGCACTTTATCCTTTATTGTTACAGAGTGTGCTGCCTTTCTTCGTTGCAACAAAGATGACTCGTATCAGGAAGCCCACCTTTGACAAGCCCACCCCTGAGCGCTATGTGGCAGCTGAACTCGCCACCGTGGGTCTTCAGAGCCAGACCAACGGTTACTTTCCTCACGCTGTCATGGTAAGAAGTGAAATTATCTTCATTACGTGTTTTTCCTATTCTGTTTTTAAAGTCAATAAACCTTGTTGTATTGACTCAAAAAGGTTTAATTTATAGTTTTTAACCACTGTCGCAAGACAGAAACATTGCGCTTTATGAAATTCTGCACGACTTTTATCAGTTTGCAACATATAAAAACCATGTTTAAAAAAAGTTCTGAAGTCACTTTGCCTCACAATTCAATGTGAACTTCACTGATAGACCCTTACTATTACTCTTAGTGTTTACTTTGGGGTCTTAACAGCTGCTACAGTTGCGTTCTCTCCTGTGGCCACCACTACCACTTACTTTTTACTGTAAACATTAAAATACCACATAGTTACAGTATAAGGTAGAAAAGTATGCCATTGTTTACTTTCAACATTTGTCCTAAATCTGCATTGAAATGTTCAAATCATGTGTTTTAGTTAAGACTGTTTAAAAAAATAATAATATCTTACAGGGTTGGGTGACTACAAAGCTGGTGCCAAGCAGTATTGTTATCTTCCTGGGAGCCAGAATGAACCGTCTGCAGCGTACAGGATACCTGCAGCGGAGGAAGCTGAGAGAACAGAGGAATGGAGCAAGTTTGAAGATGGACTAGAAGAACAGCTGACGATTCTGCAGGCAACCACATTGTTTTGACCTAGTGCCATGTTCAGGGGAGATCAATGGTGTTTCGTATTTGTGTGACTATAACCGTCAGGGTTAGTGAAGATTTCCCCCCCATGGCTGTTTTGTAGATTAACACATGGGAGGTTTCGTATGACATTTGAGTTAACAACAACAGTGTGCCTTGTTAGGATTTAACCAAAGAGAGAGAAGGTTAAGGTCAGAAAAGGTTGAATGGTAATAAAATGCTGCTCTTGGCAATGGTCATTAGTATTTTTTTTTTTTGTTTTTTTTTTTGTTTGTTTTGTTTTTTTGTCACCGATACTAATGGTGGAATTATACAGCCAAAATAAGTAATGTGTAAAATCTGCTGTTGTAAGCAGTGACAATGGTGGTGGGCATTTTTTTTTATTATTTGTAAAATTATTTATTTTATATTTGTATGAACACATGAGCCAAATCCAATACTTTCCACAAGACAAGCTTTGACCCTAGTCAGATTTAAAAAGGTATGACATTTTAAAAAATAATGGCATTTTGTGTTTTCTACTCTGTCAACCACACAAAACTGGCTCTCTAGTATATATCAAGTTTATCGTGTATTTAATATTTTGAGAGGGGTTGTTGTTGCACTAATGTATTACTTGTTCTGAACCAAATGTTCTTGTTACTCACTCATATTTGCATTAAACGTGTGCCTTTTACTGCCTATCTACGCTAATACTGGAAGCTGTGTAAATCACTGAGCAGGTGTGTACCAGTAAATGTTAGGATATACTGCAGGATGAAAAGAATGCAATTCAACTGGTGCTTTTCCTTTTTCAAACTGCACAATTTGAGTTTCTTAATATTTATCAGAGAAGCTTTTTTGAAAGGCTTTCACAGGCAATATATTTCTCTGTATGCAGAAAAGGTATTGTTGGAAATAAACATGAATGTATGATCAATAAAGGTAACATATTTAAGTTATGTCAATGTACCTAATTACTGTAGGAATATGAGAAGGAAACCTTATTACTATTGAGTTGCAAATGACTTTGACTGATTGGTGCCTTAACAGAAAAATATTTTTCACCTGTAAAATCTTAATATGCTTTAATTTTCTACTTCTAGCTTAATTTGGCTTACACTACTGATACCCACATATGTTTTGTACTGTTTATTAATAAAATGCTTTCGTATTGCACTGTTTTTCTTGAGAGGTTTTTTTTCTTAATGTTATTTTTTATTTTATTTCCTTTTTTGTTTAAAATGTAAGTATTTGCTCATGTTTAACCTTTGAGGGAAAATATAGAGATTCTCAACACGCTTGGAGGTAGGACAGTAAGACCAACTTGGTTAAAATCATGTCAGAAATATTTTACTAATTGTGAAATAAGATATTTAATGGTGAAGGAAATGGTGTTTCCTTTACGAAAATACAATATATACTCTACCTGTATTTATATATAGTGTTTATATCAACCGCTTGAAAATATATTTTGAGAAGCAAATTGTGAAGATTGCCGTTTGAAAAAAACAAACAAACGGTCATATCAACAACTGAATCGTAATTTTATTGAATAAATTAAACAGACTATATCCTGTATATGCCGGAAGCATGGTTTTGTTTAGAGAGTGACATTTCTCGAAAGTAGCATTGGTTTAAGCTAAAGGAATACATGCTGGTTTTCGATACAAGTCGACCCGTAATATCGTTTACGAAATTAATCGAACAAATTTAATAGAGATGTACTGTATACAGTACTACAATGACCGGAACTATGTTTTGTGAACAGGTTGGGTAGGAATTATTTCTGTGATGCACAGACATCCGGTCCGTGGAACGAAGGGCTGCGCTGTCGTATAAAACTGGAAGATTTGTTGTTGCACAGTTAAATCAGTTAGGTCAGTAATTTTTGTGGGTTTTTTTCTCGATATTTTATAGAAATTATTTCTGGGCTCTGACTTTGACAACGTTAGATAGTGAACGAACTAGCGTTACTCAGAGATATAGCCACTAACTCACTGTTTTGTCGTGCTGTCAAAGACCCAGTAGTTTTTGCTGGACGTAGAACAAAGTATCGTATGCTCTATTAGACCGTCTTATTAATAGTACAGTATATTTTTATATTTAATACAGTAAACGAGTAAATTTTAACGTTCTAAGAGATGTTATTATTTCAGAAGTTCTCAAATTTAATATGTAAACACCTTAAGCCGCGTCTCTAAAGCGTCTTCAACAGCTGTGACATTTTTTCATTGGTATACTGTTGTCCAGTGTCAAATTATGTTACGATTTAAAATAAAAACAGACTAAAAAACAATCAATCTTGAAATAGATGCAGACATCGAATGTTGTATATTGGAATCCTGATTTATCTTACCAAAAAATGAACCTAGTGTGAAAGACATCCTCCAGAATAGTATAAAATTAAATACTTTGATTGGCCAATCCATTACTGAACGTTTTCAACAAAGATGTAGAAGTTTAGGTAGAGAAATGGTTTTAGGAGTTCTCTAAGTAATTCTAAAATAAATCTTTGTTTGGGTGAATCTGTAGATGTGATGTAATGTCTGACAAGCGTCAGCGTGCTAGAGTCCAGGGCTCCTGGGCTAGACAGCCCAATCCCTCAAAGCCAACAGGTGAGTCTATGATTGTAGGTGACTTGTCACTACAGTATATCAACATTCACAGACGTGTGCAGTTTTGTTTGTATGGTAAACCTATTTTTATGTCTAGTGGCAGTAGTGAAGCCCCATTTATATTCATTTTTCTTTGCTGCTAAAGTTACAAGTACAAACAAGCAGCCAAGGATCAACCCTGTGTCTGCGTCCTGGGGATCAGGGCCACAGAAGACAGCTAGTACATTTGAGTTCCATCAACCCACCAAGGTTACTGACTGATCAGTCAATCCCCAAGTGTTGTAGGAAGAAAGTTTAATAAAATGCTCATTTTAACAGTGTTTTTATTAATTTACAGCCAATTAGAAATGTCCCAGCCGAGAAGGTCATTGAGTAAGTTACACTACTTTCTTATTTAAGTGTTCATTTTGAGCTCTCACACTGGTGTATGTATATTTCAACATACAATTTTGCTCTGAACAGGCAGGCGGGTGACTATGACATCAGTCATGGACCATCAGGAGTGTCCAGGTGAGGTTATTTTAAAGTGGAGAGAATGGTACTTCTAGAGGTCAAAAGAGAAATACTTTAACGTTTGGGGAAATGAATGACAACAGGACAATTCTGTCATATAGCTTTTAGCCCACTAGATGGCACTAAGTCCACAGTAGTTCATTATTTTGCTATTCTGGGACATCGACTGAGATGTTGAGATATGAGCTGCATTTACTTACACTCATGGTGACCAATGACATGTAATTTGCTTAGAATGAAGGGTTTATTTATTACGTTTATTTAACAACACACACCCAAAGAAATAGTCCCTTCCTGTAAAGTCCAGTAAACTGTAGGTTTCGTAGTTCATCAAGTAAACCTTTGTTTTTGTCCAGGCTTCGTCTGTTGCCTTGGTTTCTCTCTCAAGAAGAGGCTGACTGGATGTTTAGTAAGCTGTTAGCAGAGCTGCCCTGGTCCCAGAAAACCAACTACAGACAAGGTAAACCTCCCCCCAGCCCCCATTTTGCAGCTACTGGTAAAAACATTTACAACATTAAACACATAACATTAAGTCCATAATGACAGAGCAGTCACTTGAAGAGAAATTAATTAATTCATAAATCAAGTGGGATGATTTTCTCTTTTATTAGTATAAGTAGTATAATGTTTAGGTTTACGAAGAAATTAAAAAAAAAAAGTTAACCTTTAAGCTCTAAGTGACCTTTCATCCATGTACCCATGGCCTGCCTTGCCTCAAGACCCTGTGAAATATTTAGCACTTTGTAAATACCGGTACTGTATGTCCCTCTGATAACACCGATGTTAGTAAAACCTTAATCCAGGTCATGAATAAGAACTCTTGTTTATACATATCTGCTCAAGACGGTCCATGCCAGCCAGCTCTGTAGAAGTGGTGGGCTGCTTGAGCAGTTTGTTTTTGTTTCACAATGTTCTTGTAACAGATGGCTGGCCAAATAATAATAATAATAATAGAGGTTTTTGGAAGGATCTGCTTGTTCCCAAACGAAGGGCACGTAGCCCAAAACCAACAGAGACAGACAGACAGACGGAGAGTAATTCAATTTGGATGTTTACCTTGTCTAGTGCTACGTATATTGTAACAACAAAGACGGTAATTATTTTTCTGCGTATGTTCAGGCGGATAAGTCAGTAAATACTCTCAGCCATTCACTGCCTATTGTTGTCAGTCAGCAAGAAGCCATTAAACTGGACGCAGGCCACTTTTTAAAAATTGCCCTGGACTTTTTTACTAATTTAATTTAGCCCAGGTAAGTACAGAACAGTAATGTCCTCTCTGTGATTAACGGGATGGTAGAAAGACATTTAGTTTAATTCTAGGAAGTAGATGTTTGTGAAGAGTGATTTTAAATGATTGCAGACATCTTATTCTTATTGAAGTACATGCACTGTCTTTGTCCAGCTGAAGCATACGAGGAGCCGAGGTTAACCTGCTGGTATGGAGAGTTACCCTACACGTATTCACACTCCACTATGGCTCCCAACTCACAGGTGTTGTTTTGTTTTGTTAATTTTGACTATTGTTTATTATCACATTTTGCACAAACTATTTTGAACACATTTTTTAAAAGTATTATCAAAGTCTTAACCCACTGTACTTTTTTTTCATTCTCCACATGTAGTGGCATCCCTTGCTCCAAACTCTTCGAGAAACAGTGGAGCAAGCCACTGGCTGCAAATTCAACTCGCTGTTGTGTAACTTGTACAGGGACGGCCATGACAGCATTGGCTGGCACAGTGACGATGAGGCCTCCTTAGGTGACAAGCCCACCATCGCCTCCCTCAGTCTGGGTGACTCCAGAGTTTTCAGTCTCCGCAAGCAGCCTGCACCGGTGAGATTGTGTGAGAAATTATCTGCTTCAGCCATATAATATATCTTCAATTGTTTATTAGAATAATTGTAATGTTAATCCTCTCTTGAGTTTAAAAATAATCCTTCCAAAGTCCACTTTTCTATGAACAGAAAGGTTAGAATGTTGTATTTTTTGTTCCAACAAATATTTTTCCTTATAAAGACACCAAAGCATAGTGGTACCAAAAACATACAAGCTAATACTGGGAATGTAATTCCTTTTTTGGCCAAAGTGCTCTGTGTCACTTTATCTGGCTAACAACAATGGTGCGTAGAGGGGAAAAAGGAATTATTAGTCTGAAAGCATGGCTGGAGAATTACAAATGACTAAATCACAGGAAAAGTTCAAAGCCACGATTCGACTCAGATAAACAAACATCATCACTTTACACACTGACGTCAAACAGAGCCACATGGAGAAAAGTGTGACATAACAAGCCCAAAACCCTATATTTTCCATCTGTACTTAAGTGAATGAAGATGTTTTAAAATTCATACTTCAGCAGTCGTTTTCTTAACAACATGAACCTACTGTACAAAATATTTACACAAACAAAAAAGTTTGAGTACTGAATGTATTTGCTGTGAGAAATTGTACGTGTTACCTGTACGCACTAAATACAGATGTAGAGATGTGCTGTTATCCCATGGTAAACGTCTTTGTTCCTGGTGTTTGTTTGTGTGGTGCAGTCAGTAAGAAAAACTCCTAAATGTTTGTGTTTTTTGTCAGGAGGAGAACGGTGACTACACCTACGTGGAGAAGATTCGGGTTCCACTGAGCCACGGGACACTGCTGCTGATGAAAGGAGCCACACAAGATGATTGGCAGGTAAACTACACCAACCACGGCAACACAGCCATTTATAAAAAAAAAACAAACAGCAGCAGCTACTGAAGACTAAAACCCACTGGTTCCTGTTCTGATCTGCTGCGCCCCCTTTTGTGGATTTGACTTTTGTTGACCTACTGCCTACATTGACACATCAAGAACTATTGCTTCAAACACTGTATTTACTATAATACCGCTGTTCTCCGATGTGAAAATAAAAATAAAGATCAGTGCAGTTTTCCCCCAAATTAAGTAATTATTCAAATGAGAATATATGTGTCTTTAGCTCTACCCCAACCCTTGTGGGGACAGCTCCCCCCTGCCCCCCCACCTTGGGAACCACTGCTGTAATCCTCAAGCGGTAGTTAAAAGTTAAAATTTGCATTTGCTGAGTGAACAATTACATTTATGTAATTACCATATTTTTCACAAATTCCACTCCCAGCAGATAATTTTACCAACAATCAGCCTCAATACCCCTGTACTCTACTTTCAAATATAGACAAAACTGAACTTGTGCCTTATTACCTTGGTTAACCTCCGACATTTACAGTAAACATGTGAAACAAACTGGCATCACACGACATGTGGGCCGGTGCTGCGGTGCTTTGCCACTGCTGCTTGGCTATGAGGAAAGAAGTTCATAAAACAAACGGAAAAGAAAAAAAAATGGAATGACAGAAATCAGATATTCTGTGAGAAGAGTACAAAAAATATATAAAGAGAGTACATCAAGGACGTTTGGAAATTTAGTAGGGAAGATAAACAAAAAAAGTGTGGGAAAATGTGAAAAAGAGAGAGAGAGAGAGAGGACTTTGGAGGATATTAAACCTTAAGAGAAAGAGGAGAAGGTCGCAGGTATTTTATGGCAACATCTCAGTGAGCAGCTCCACAAAGGTTTAATTTCTCATTTAAAGCTCCTGCCAGAGGGAAAGATCAAACCAATAACTCTGTCTGTGTCACTGCAGTATAAGTCTCACCCTGCTTCGTCAGAGGGGTTTTAAAGTGAGCACTAAATATTTAACTCAACCTGTCAACCGTGCTAATCATCACGTCATTTGTTAGAAAAAGGAAACAAGACTTTTTTTGTCTCTGGTGTTTGAGCAAACCTGTCACCTCGGCTTTTGACAGTAAGAAATATACTTAACCTTTTAAACCAGGTTCAAATATTTTCTTTGGTGACCTTTTTTTCACTCAACTTTAGTGTGAAGGACTTATTTTCTACTAAAAGTAGGTGTTGGGGTTGAATATAATCAGTGATAAGTCATTAACAACAGAGGGCCATTTGTTTCTCATACTGTTTCCCCCAGAGGTTCAAGACTTAAATGTTTTTTTCCTCTGAGCCTCCCTCAACATTTGCTTCTTGTTCTTCTTCTCTTCTTTTTAGGCTTCAAACAGCAGATGTGACACATTGACTTTTATAACTGACACCTGTTAATCTTTAATAAACAGACAAACGTATAACTGACACCTGTTAATCTTTAATATTTTTAATCTTTTTAATATTTTCTAACATGACATTCAAATCAAGAAATAGACAAACAATAGCATCACTGTCGATGAATACACCGCTATACACTTCTAGTTCTCTGTTTAAATTATTTTTTGTATGATTTGATCAATTGCCTAAATACTCATCCTATAATTAGTCATATAATCATATAAGCTCTATTTAGCTTAAGTCGACCTCATCTGCTGCTGCACACAAGTGCATTTCTTTATGTGTGTGTGCCCCCTGCTGGTATAATTCTGACCAATACAATATTGAGGATCTGTGTTTGCAGAGAGAAGACAATAAATGTATTAAGTGAAAAAAAAAAAAATTTCTATTTCGTTGTTACTAACACCAAATTAATCCTTATGAACATCTCAGATTAAAACATTTAGCGTTGCTTTTTTTGACAGCATCAAGTGGCTAAAGAGTACCACGACCGAGGCCCTCGCATCAACTTGACCTTCAGAACCATCTATCCAGAGCCGGACGGTCACAGGCCAGGAACAAAGATTCACATCACTGCCCAACAACAGTGAAGTGCTACAGGCGTCAGGTACTTGTGGCCTTGAAAAGGTGCAGCTTTCAGCTGTTTTTTGCCAAGTGGTCCAAGCTACAACGGTGAGGTCTGCACCTTTGTTGTGCAACTGGCTGCTGTACCACCACAGTCCTGACCACTGGTCATTATCAGATACAGTGTCATTGTTTTTAGGGGAGATGAGCAGGAGAATGGTGATAATGAGGTGCTCAGTTGTTGACTCTCAGTCCTAACTTAATTCACCACAGACACTTATTACATTTTGGTGAGCTTGCAAGGGGGGAGGGCAGAAGGCTGGGTGAGTGTAACTTGGCAACCAGCACTGAATCTGGCACTTAATGCCACAGTCCTTCTGCCAACAGTGAGAGTTTGTACTGGGAACCTCCTGGTTGGCAGGTTCTTCAGTGTTATAAACAGATCATTTATTTGCCAATCTTCAGTCTGTTCTTCCAGATTGTTTTTCCTGTTTTTGTCTCATGCTTTGGATATTAACACACTGATGTCTTCAACGAAACACAATTTCATGAAAAAAACAAACAAACCCTGATTTCCAGATTTTTTTTTTCTTTACAACACATCACTGTTCATGGGAATCATCTTTGGAAGTCCTAACAAAAAACAAGTGTTTTGACAGATATGAGAGGAATAATGACTTTGCTGTAAGAGATGTTTATGCAACTGGGAATTAACTGAAGAGTTCCTGGAACAGATGTCATGAAGGGAATATACTGTAACGTTTAGGAAAATCTTGATCCAAAGGGGCAAAAGCTCCATGAACAGCTGCAACGTAATGTAATTATTTAAAAACAAGAAACCATTGTTAATTTATTCTGAACTGGAATAAAAATTTGCTTTGTGTCAAATTGTTATTTGATTGCATCCTAATTGGCAGTCCTATATTTTGTCAGTATTGGCAACGCTACACTTAAATTCCTATGAGTTGAGAGATTATATAATCTGTGTTGACACCCATAGGAAGTGATGAGTAAACCAGGGCCTTACTATGGGCCGCAGACTTTAGTCATTTACCTTGAAAGGGTTATTATATAAACGGTATATTGTTTTTATAAATTCCATAAGACTATTATTTTACTGTCATTTTTAGATGTCAATGTCAATAATTTCTAAACCTTAAGTGATTTGCTTCATAAATGGCTTTTATATCATGTGTAACACATGCACCACCCACTCTCCATCTACCACAGGTGTAAAAAACATTTTAAAAAATTTAAAAAAAAAATTACAAGTCATTAAGTATTAAAATGAAATTCTCCGTGTATTAGAGTACAAACACTCACACAGCCTGGTTTATGAAATTCTCCGTGTATTAGAGTACAACCAGCCTGGTTCATTATGGTGAAGTGGTTGAACTCTTCTGTATTTTTATTTTTTAGGATCGCTGTGAATTTCATGACTATCCCTGAAAGAACACTTCACCACATGTTGCTCATTATAGTCACAATGGCCGTGTGTGTGTTTTATTGTCTGCAAAAGTTACAGTAAGTAAAAGCACTGGTGATAAACTAAACTAGAAAACTGTCTAAGGTAAGAACCTGTTGATACGTTGAGTTACCAGTTAATTAGTGATTCATCAGTTACTGTTTTCTGCCATGATATGCTGTCAAAACTCTCAGGTATTGATTTTCTTCATGTGTGGATGTGTTTAGAGTACTTGGAAATAATGTGTCTCATACATGAACAGTGTGTTTGAATGGAGCTCATAAACTCTGCTGTTTAGACTAAACCTGAAGAACACTGTAAACTCACTGCAGCCTCTGCTTTACTTCAGTTCCCTGTTCCTGTTAATGATTACAAGGCAGTGGAACCAAGGAAAAGTCTTAACCTGTTTAACAGTTAATAATAATAATAATAATACAATAACATTGAATTTAGCCCTTACATATGTGCAGCCCACAGCATTAAGGTCAACGGACCAGGCCCTGGTACGACCGGTCTTCAAAACTCAATCCCCATGTGCCTGAACACGTGTGTCTGGTGTTTTTACTGGAGTGTTTTCAGTGGAGTCCTTCAAGGATGGGTTAAAAGCAGTAATTTCCTTGGGGGGGAAAAAACTCAAGCGGCTTCGGGAAACATCAGGGCTAAGCCGAGTGTATGATGTCATTTTGTGCATACGACATTTTTAGACCTGCTAACAGGTGCAGCAGACACGTGTCGGTTTAAAAAAAAAAACTTCATACAATGAAAGTCCAAAATAATTGAGAGCCACAGTGAGTGCCACGAGTTGAATAAGTGGCTGTCTGCCTCGTTTGTTGTGAAGCAGGTTACGTGCACCACACTGGGTCCATCTTTCACTGTCTCCAAAATGCCATCTCCAGAAGCCCATGGGGACAATTTGTACCTGGCATGAACATCACTGAATGTGACCCTGGTTTACACCGAACATGTGATTTTGGACACGCCCGTGCGTGTTGTTTGTGTTTCCTGTAAATTCCCTGTGGAACATTTTGTAACGGAATACAGAACATGTTGTTTGGATGGTTAGAAATGTACTACAAAAACGATTAGAAACCTGACTGTGGACACTAAGGCCTTAAATCTGTAACTGACATCACAACAGTCAGCTAATGTTTCAGAAAGAAAGTGAAAAAAACAGGGCAGTGTCCACTGAGTAGTGGTTCCCAAAGTGTGGGTCGTGGAGCTATGGCAGGTTAAATTGCATTTTTTTAAATGTGTGCCCTAGTTGCTTAGTTTTACACAGTAACTTATACAACGTGTGTCTTTATTTGAAGCTCACTTGTATCAGAGTGAAGGACTCCTGTTTCTCCTCTGTGACGTCAAAGTTGCTGTTTATTGTAACAAATCCACAGAGAAATATTGACTCAACACAGTCCCTGAACTTTAGGCAGTGTTTGTACTCTACACTGCAGTCAGGGAAGCCTGTGCTTTACCAAAGTGTACACTGCAGTCAGGGAAGCCTGTGCTTTCCCAGAGTCCCTGTAGAACACTTTACATTTGTGTTTGTGTAACAATGTAAATTCATTTCCTTAGTTCTCTCCACATATCAATTTTCCAGTGCTCTCTGGTTTCGTTGACATCCATCAGACTTCCAGTAATCAACTTGGTGAGAGGCATAACCAACAGTCAGTCTTGTTTTAGCCACTGTGTGCTTTTTTATCCGACCCCAACACCTGTTGTGCAGAGCCAGAAATATTTGGGGTTTTACTGGAGCTGTGTCTGAGCTGCGGTTGTTGCTAAGTCTGTTTAATCTCTCCTGTCTTCACTGTCACTGTATGGATCAAACCCAATTAGGCCTGAGTCCAGAGTTGTTCCTGTATCAGCCCCAGTAATGTCTTCACCTCATTTTCAAGCACCAGCCTCTACACTCACATTAACGGACAATGAAACATAATCCGCAGAACATGTCTGGGATACTGGCATTCAGACGGTGTGTGATGTGCTGACACACCAGCATATTAAAACTGATCCATATGGAAACATAATTATAAACAGTTATATATTCTGTACAAGTATAGATGTGTTACATAATATAAGTATATTCACAAGGTTACACTTTGATCAATTTGCTCAGTTTTCTGTAAAAAACAACAATATTTTCACTCTTTATCTTTTCTCTACCTTCAACACAGCAATGCTAACATTTCTGTTTCTAACTGCAAAATGTTTTTTACCAACTCCATAGTTGGATCACATTTTGTCTGCACTCATAAAGCATATTTTACTTAAGAAAAACACATGTTCTTAGTTTTGAAAAAATCTCTCTTTATTACAAAGTTTAAAGTCACACGTCCACTGGTCTGTTTGTTTAAAATATCAAAGCAGGGGCTCACACTGTAAGAAAAACAGTTTTCACATTAGCCCTAAGTCAAGGATTTTTTTGTCTAGCTAAATCCTAAGATAAACAGCCTTAATCTTGTGTCCATTTAAAGGAGAACAGTCTGCTGTGATTCTGCACAGTCACGTGACGACACTGACTCCAATGTTGTGTTATAGGAAAGGAAACAAGGAACTGGGAGTGTGAATCTGAGTGATACTGCATGTATACTGTATGTAAGGATATGTATAACAACAGTCACGTGACGACACTGACTCCAATGTTGTGTTATAGGAAAGGAAACAAGGAACTGGGAGTGTGAATCTGAGTGGTACTGCATGTGTACTGTATGTAAGGAAGTCACCCAAGGACACTGTACATAAAAAAAAAAAAATATCTGTAGGTGTTTACAGCTGAAATATATTGGAGTTCATACTCAAGTGTGTGAGTTGGCCTGCGTGTGTGTGTTTAATAAAGCCCTAAGTGTGGCCTGAAGTCATGCTGGGAAACAGCTCTGGGAACATGGTGACCGATTCACTTCACTCTCCCGATCCTTCACCCTCCCTCCCTAATTGGTCCAGTCTTCTCTGCTGTACCCACACCTCCTCCTCCTCCTCTTCCTCTTCCTCCTCCTTCTTCTTTTTCTTTTTTTTCTCTTCCCATTATTCTTTTTTTTTTTGCTCCTCCACTTTCCTCCGTTATTTATAGGATTTGAAAGAAAAAGTTCACGTCACCAATGGGGGCACTTTGTCTATTACAAAAATATTCTCATATATGTTAGTGATTAGTATGACATCCTTTATTTTTGAAGCAGCAGACACTCTATATAAAACTGTCCTTTCAGGACAAGAGTATTTTAATCTGTCATTGTTTTGGAAAGTTATGACCTTAAGTGGACGTAATGTGTTTTCCCTACTTTTCTGGAAATCAGCTTCCTGTCCTGTGATGTCATAGTTGGTCAGACGTGGTTTTAGCAGCTGCTACTGACCTAATGTTAGCTGACATGTCAGCCATGGCATCCTGAGAGCATCAGAACTGGCGGCTGTAACGCATCACCAGTTTTGTAAAACACGTCACAAACTGATTCGGTGTTGAGTTGAGGTTCAGTTGTGGAGATAGAATCAGAGCCAAAAGAAGTTCTATCAATTTACACAACAAGACATTTTTATGTTGAACAACAGTGATACCGCGACACATTTATTACATATTAAACATAATTGGAAACTGAAGTTCACAGCTAAATAAGCTTTTTTTGTGTTTGTTAGTCCATATAGACTGATGATGTTCGATGATAATTTTACATTTCTGCTTTGAAAGGAGCACAACTCTTATGGGCTGCATGTCGTTGAGCTACAGAGAGTGTTGCCTTCCTGGTCTGGTCTGTTATTTCTCAGAATTTATGATCACTCACCAATTGGAATTCCCTTGGTCATAAAGGACCACAGACTGGGCCAGTCCGAGGTTGTGCCTGTGTGGCCTGCGGGTCTCTGCATTCAAGTTCAGGTGTGTAGAAATTGTCGCATCTGGGAAATTCTGCAATTCTTCAAGGTTTGACATTTTTAACTTCCATATGTAATTTTGGAATAAACACTTTTATTTAAAATGAGAAATTATAATTAATGACCAATAAAGGTTTCACGACATGGTCTACATGTGGTGTCACAAACACACATGGTGATCTTAGAGGGGGATGCTTCCCGTCTCCAAGTCTCAGTCTAAAAATAAACATGTTGTCCCTGTGTTTTCTTACTGATTCAGTCCCCAGAGCAGAGGAGGGGAACCAGACCAACCCCACAACATGGTGTTGTTATTGGTCTTCACCAGAATTACTTCAAGTCCCGCATTTGAATGTTTTCGCAAACAGAGCTGCGTGAGAGCTGTCGATGTTGCAAAACCACCCGCTAAAGTAATGCACAGTATACACACACACACACACACATATATATACAAATATATATATATATATATATATATATATATACAAAAGTATATATATGTGTGTGTGTGTTGTTTAGCACAGCTGCTTTTATTGAGGTATCAAATAAGTAAGCTAATATCAATGCATAGCAAATATAGATGAATGTTAGCCCACAACAAACTCAAAGTGTCCCAAAGTCAACACAGTCTGATAATATAAGGCTAAAACAATTATGTCATGGAATCATTGGGCTGCATGATCATCAATATTTTTTCGTGTGTGTGTGTAGACCCAATAACTTTGTGTTAAGTTGGTCAGATTGTGCAAGTATTTTCACCACAACGAAGCAGAGATGAATGTCACATGACCTTGTATGTGACTTGACACCAGCTCTCCCCTCACTCTGTAGTACCATGACATTTGGGTTGTTATGGTAACAGGGGCATCCTACCACAGTGGGCAGTGCGGGGAGACTGGGTGGTCAGGGAATGTGGCCTCTGGTTTGTAACTCACCTCCTGACACCGTGGGCCTGGAAAAGTTTCTTTTTCTTTTTCTCATTTTTACACAGACAAAAGGTAATTCCATTAACCCGAGATTTAGTTACTAGTTACTTTTAGTTACTAAACCAAATACTACAAAAGTCCTAGTATTTGATTTCATACTTGGCAAATAAAGCTGACTCTGAGTCCATGCAGTGAACTTGGGCAGTAAACTAGTAATTCCAGATCCAGGTTGTTGAACGTCTCCAGAAGAATATTTATCTAATAATGAAGCTGCAGTTCTGTGTATTTCCGTTTCTTCAGCTCACTGCTTTATTTTATTCTTTTCCACTTCCGTCTGGGGTTACTGTTGACACTGTACACAGATAAACACACGCTTTTCCTCTTTCTGTCGTTGGCTTTGGTGTGTACCATAAATAAAGAAAAGAATGTAGAGCTGCGGTCATGATGGGCACTGTTGTATTTGTAGACACATTTTCATCATAGTGACAGCGGTTTAAATCCCAGGTTTGCTGCTTTAGATAAGTCAAATACAAAGTATGATGACTTTTAATGAATTTACATATTTTTCATGGTAGCACCACAATATACTTTATGTGTAATAGATGTATTTGTATGCATTTATCAACACAGTAGTGTAAGAGTTTGTAAAAGTATTTGTTGTTGTTGTTGTCCTTCTGACCCAGCTGGTGTACGTACCAGAGTGTGGGCCAGATGTCTGCTGGGATTGGCTCTAACTAACCCCATGATCCTTAACAGGATAGAAGAAGAAAAAGAATCACTTTCAGCTGCTTCAGGGTTGTTCACCACTGAGGATAATCTCCATGTGTTCAATGCTCTTCCACATCCCTGCTCCATTCAAACTGAAGGGGATTTATTCAATGATTTTTAATCAACAGTGAGTGAATATTGCCTTTGGTTCTGGGCATGTTGAGCAATACAATTTTCCAAGTGCAGGCTCGTGCTCCGTCGGAGGTTGGAGTGAGAGGAGGGTGGTGTGCTGCAGGTGATCAAGAGATTTTCAGGGGATTAGTCTTCAGCTCCCTCTGCACATGTTGGTGGTTGGTGTTACTGTCCTGGAAATGCCATCAGCTGCCGGACACAGGATGAAGGATAAGTCAGGACTGAAGGACCTGCCTAACAATGTGTCTTCAATTTCTCTGGTATAATAAATAGATACTATGTTGGATTTGATGAACTTGTACCAAGTAACATATAAATCAGTGCAACATCACATTTTACAGGATAAACATTTACAGGATATACATTCAGCATAGAAACCCAAACCCATGCACAAAAGTCAAAATAGAGTCAAAAACCTAATGTGATGTCATCTCCTCCGTTGGCCACCGTTGGCCACTGTTGGCCTTAGACTCACAGTAGAACCAAAGGGATTATTTATTGCAAAATCACAACTTCAAATTCTGTGGCGTAGACGTGTGTGCGCGTGTGCATGTGTGTGATAAAACAGCGTGACATGCTCTCCTCAGGTGTCACCCATAGAATGCATGAGGGAACATGACAGCTGGTCCAGGCTCCAACATCACGCCTGAAAACCTACTGAAGGGAAAGCCCATGAGGTCATTGCTTGAAATGTAAGAAATCTGTTACTTCAGAGCCACGGACTGTGAGCTGCATAACATGCATGCTGCTGTTAGTGAGTTTAGTTAGTTACTATTGATGACACACACACATTCACCCAGGAGTTTCTGATGTTTGTGTTGTTGTTGCCTTGGCCACGGTGTTACCCTGAGGGCAGTCGTGGATCATGATGCAGTTTTCAAGTGTGAGTGAGATACTGATCATGTCATCCATCACTCATGGATATGAACTTTTACACATTTACACAGGCGCAATATCCATATAAAGAAATATAGTTTCTTATAGTCCCTTTAAATCAGTGGCTCTTAAAGTGACGTTCGGGCTCCTCCTTCTGGGCCCAAAGTTATTGTAGGAGAAGCAGGAGAAGTTTTTTGTGCCACAGTGGGAAAATGAACTGAACAAACAGAGGCAGAGCTCATGGACTGTATATCACCAATTCAGTGTGTTTGCTCTTGACGTCACCCATGACATGATAGCGTGTGACATCATATGTGAACCACCATCTCTGTCTCCTTGAAGACACTGTGCAGTGATTGTCTTCACTTGACACTAAACAGCCATTGTCTTCACTTTCATTGTGTGTTTATTTTGCTTCTTTCAAGCTGTTATTTTTGTCTTGTCAGAAAGTCAAATGGGAGTACGGAGATCGTATTCACAGTTATTTGTGCGTTGACAATTATTGAATTGCAGTTATGGCCCCAAACATCCGAGACCCTGTCTGGCTTGGACCACATTTGTGAGAATGTAACCTGCAGTCAGTGGTAGTGACTGAACCAGATATCTACACCAACCTTCACACCACCTACGTCAGCAGCCACACTGTTAAATTTAGCCATTAGGGTTACAGTTAGGATGACGTGACGTGTTGACTCTAATGACACTGGCACTGCTGACGAATCCCTGGTGTTTGTGATACCCTTATCTGCTGTGAATGTGACTACATGTACGGCCGGGAGACTTGTATCTGTCATCCTGTTTTTTCATCATCAAACATTCAAACATGTTGCTCTATTAAGGCGATGTTAACATTTGTAATCTGACAGGGGGGAAAAATGAACCAAATATAACTGAAATGACTTCTGACAGTAAAAGTCAATTTCCTCTGGGGATCAAAGCTGTGATCACTTTGTTGTGAGGTGAGATCATTCTCTTCCACTGTGTGGCAACAATACGACAGTAAACCACTAATTATTTATCTTAACAGCTTCATTCTCTTTTACATTTTATTACAGTCATATTTAAGCCAATGACACACCTCCATTATCACCACATTACCTGTGTAAAATCAGTTCCACAGCCAAAAATATTATAGTGGAAATAACAACTTCAAATGATCAGTCTCCTCCGGGGGCGCTGTGATCTGATCATGTCTCCCCTCGAGGACTTCTCCTGTTCTATGGCTGAAACCTGTTTCCCCTGGTAAACACCTGCATCAATATTTGAGAAAAGTACGACAGAGGGCAGTGCCACTTGAGAGGAGAACTCCCCTGGTAAACACCTGCATCAATATTTGCCCCAATCAACTGCAAAAGAAAGAGAAAAGTACGACAGAGGGCAGCGCCACTTGAGAGGAGAACTTCAGAGTACACCTTAAAATAATTTTGGTATTTTTATGGTTGCTGTTATGTGATTTATTTATTTATTTATTTTTAAATATTTTATATACTATACTTTTATATGCTATACTTCACCATTTTATATGCTAAACTTCACCATGTCTGAAGGATTCTTCATTCAATTATTCATTCACAGATATGGTATATTATTATAAAGTCCATCAACATTGATACATTTTTGCTTTTTGGATATGACCCTCTGTCCTTATTTTCATCCTTATGCTTCTTTATTTTCCAGTCACAAGTCTGTCTCCACACACACACACACACACACAGACACACACTGAAAGAGGGAGAGAAAAAAGACCCTCATGTGTTTATTTTCAGGGGGTTTTGGCTGACTGCTCTGCCGGCCGGAACCATGACTGAAAGCAATGAAAGGGAGTGGGCGGGGCATGGCAAGAACACAGAGCATGAAGAGTGAGCAACACACTGACTGATTAGTGAGCTGCTATAAAAGAGAGTGCTGGAGCTGCTGCTGGTGGTATTAGCTTCAGCCGTCAGAGAGTCACACACTGAAGAGAAGAGACGTCTAAAGCTCTCACCTGAGGAAGTGAAGCACAATATTTTAAAGTTTGAAATTTGAAACTTTGGCTTGACTTTGGAGATTTACAGCATCTTTCTGGCTGTACTCTGGACTCCTGGCTATTTTTATTCTGAGACTGACAGACTTTCTTAAACCAGGATTGTTTTCCTTTCTGATCTCGTTGGTTTGAAGACAAGGTCATTTCATCTTTCTCTGGGCATCTTTTTGACCAATGGCTGCTGTGCGTCAGATGGTAATGGAGGCGTCTGGTTTTCATGCCTTACCAGCCCACCTAATGGCCTCGGCCATGGAGGAGTTCCCCCAACAACTCCCTGTACCTAAAGGCCCGGCTAAGGGCAAAAGCCGCGCCCGTCGACCTCGCGAGGCCCGATTCAAAACCCAGCCTGTTACCTTTGCTGAGATTGCAGAGGTAGAAGAAGAAGGTTCCTCGCCTATGGAGGAGGAGAGGGCACGCCGCTCCTTCCTTCAGTCCCTGGAGAACTTGCGGCGCAGTACACAGACCCTCCACTGCCCATCAACTGCCCACCACAGCTGCACACCCACACCCACGCAGACCAGCCAGGACTCCAGTGACTCCGACTCCACCCAGTGAGGACGGGGAAATGCTCACGTTCTCTCGACAACGTTCCTTGCTTCACCTTGACGCCGCTTCAAATGGAGGCCAACCCAACTGAACCAAACTGGCTTGTTTGCCAGCTTGTCTGTGTGTGTCTCTCTGTGTGTGTGTGCGTGTGTTAGCTGCTGCATAGTTCTGCAATTTAGAATGCACTTCTACTAACATATCAACAGTATGTGTAGGTTGAAGATGCACTTGTAGCATCTCTGTAAAATCTCCCTGCCAGAGTACAATTATACTGACGAAGAAATGAGTGTAGCAGACACAGCAGTGTGGAACACAGCACTCTTTAGATGGATTTGTTTTCTACAATCTAATGTGCATGAGAAAAAAAAACTTGAAAGATGGTTTGATATTTTTCCACTTTGAAAATTTGTAATTATTTTTGTTTTAATGCCGATTTTTTTTTGTACTTCAGCAGTATGAATAAAAAGCACTGTAATAAGAAAATCCTAGGATGAGAACTAACCACACTGTGAATGCTTTCAGTGAGCATCGATAGTGACCTGGTCATCACTGAAGGAGTAGACATCACAAAGGCCTTCTTTAGTTTAGGGTTGTTTTTTTTCCAAATATACTGAAATTCCTGCTTATGCTTCTGTTCCAGAGAAAACAATGTCTTTCTGAATATCCTTAATTTATTCTTTTACTTTGTTTATAACCTTATGGTCATAGATGTTTTATTTTACTGCTCTTTCCTATGGTTTTCTGTTTTTTTGATTTTCCAAGGAAATCATACATGTACTTTACATTTGTGTAACTTTATTCAAAAGAAAATGTTTAAAATGACTATGCTGTGTACTTTAATAAATATTTTCCAACATTGAATTAATATTTTCTCTTTTTGTTTCTTTTAATTGAATTGCAGTTGTACAAACTCAGACTCAGCAAGTTAGGAACAAGTTGTGTACAAAAAAAAACATAAAACAAATGCAGGCATTTTGTAAGACGAGTGGAGCAAACATCAATGACATCTGCCATCACAAAAGATGCATCCAAACTAGAAATACTACAAGTAAAGACAGAGAAACAACTGACAATAAGTTCTGACACAGGTAGGCTCATGCCTGTGTCTTGTCAGCTGTGTCTGTTTCATGATTATTGGGATGGTGACGCACTTATGTTGATGTCAGGTTCTAGGTAATGAATGCAGGCACAGCAACCACTGGTCTGCTGAGAGAGAAGTGCCCTCTGAAGCTTTGCTCCGAGAGTCACTGCAGTCATGCCTCCTGACACTAATAACCCTCCTTTGCTAATCCACTCTGTGACAAGAGAAACGTGACGCATGACTTTCACCTGAGGGCAAATCAACAGATGGATGGAGGCAGATAATGCTGCTTAGTCATGGACCATCTCAGGTCTATAGAACTTTGTGGGGGGAACTAAAAAAATGTAACACCCATCTAAAAGATTAAGTTATAAAGATATTAAGACATCTACAATTTTAGTGAATCAGTGGTTGATACAAAAATACATCATAATATTATTATTAGTTTTCCGTTATACTAATTTAACATCTCTCCCCATCTACCAGGGTGTAGACTTTGAATTTTCATATGCCACAACTTAAAACTAGGTTAGTATCTGTCAAATGAAATGATCTGACATATACTGATTTTTTTTAAAAACCTGTATTTAACCTGTTTTCTTTCAAACCAGTATTTAAAAAGCAAAATGTCTCAGGGGGACACAATGACTAAAAATATACATATTTCTTATCTACTGCATGCACATTGTTTTTCCGAACATATGCTTTACAGATGCTTCCCTGTTCTACATCTAAGTGTAGTCTGAAGACTTAAAAAAAAAATTCAGACTGCTTCTTGGGGCTTTCGATCCCCCAGTGGCGTCCCTAAGCCCTTTAGCCCCCTCTAGTGCTAAAGAGAGAAAATAGATGGGAAGCAAAATTTGACCCAGATACTGTACACTCTAACAGTGTCCCATTTAAACTTCTAGCATAATATATTTATATTATGTTACATCACAAAAGAAAAAAAAGTTTTTATGTTTAATTTTAATTTGGTAGATGTTTTAGATGCTTTAAGACGACGCATATGGTTTTACTTGTCTATTATTTATAATTTGAAATATTATTTTTAGTTGTAGTTATTATAGGCAGAATAGTTAAAGGCTCACACAACTAATTATTTTGTTCGAATCAATATCATAATATTATTACCTTGAATCGTCACTTTAAAATTATTGTATTACCAGATATTGACAATTGGGCTCGTTGTAAGTTAACATTAACATTTAATTTTGTCAAGTCAATATTTTCCTCAAACTATAATATACATACAATAGACACATTGCGTACGTTTTTAAAAGTTAAATGCGAGCTTGTGACTGGTAATTATTGTCCAACCCACTCATTCCTTATGTGTCATGGTGGTTATATGTAATTGATGGTCTATCTCTCCAATTACCTCTGTGCTTTGTGAAGGACTCGCTTATATTTTTACATTTTAGTCCAATGGGATTGTTGTTGTTACAGCTTGTAACCAATAGCAATATAGGGGCGGGCTTTCTGCAAGGAGCGCGAACGGTTAAGGATGAAACAGGACGGAATAATGGCGAAATTTAGAAGTTTGGTTAGGCGAATAACAAAGTAAGGCAAGTCCGTGGCGGATCGTTATTTCCATCTAACGTTTTGCTTGTTATATTATAGCGACTACATGTTCAAACCAAGTTAATTTTAAATCTCATGATTTTAATATATGTAGCTTCGAGGGCTAGCTTGGGTTAGCAGGCTGTCTTTGGCAGCTGTAAATGGCGTTACCCTGTTTACGGTAGGGACAGCGTAACAGAAAGTGTATGGATGTAGGGACCGTTACATTTAAACTGTTGAGCTGCTCTGTATGTCCATGGATTAATGTTGGATTAAGTTGTCTGGAGCCCCAAGCGGTTTTCGAAGACAGCGTTGAACAGAATGGCTTTACATAACGTGGTTTTTGTGATCAACGTAGATTATGGAGATCATGAATCGACCGACCAGCTTGAGGTCAGAAAAGGTTTGTTGAAGCGAGGTGTGTTGCGTATTCTACTGCATTTCGGATACAAATATGGATTTGAAAAAGTGCGTTGGGGTTATAAATTCTTTCAGTCTAGCATTGGACGCAATGCCACTCTCGTATCAAGGGGGTCGGACTTTAAAGAGCTTCGTCACAAAACATTTGAAGACTTTGAACAAGAGTTTGACAGCAAGTTTGAGTGGAAGGACAAACTATGTTCATCTCGGCAAAATCAACCTGTGTGCAAGTCAATGTGCGTTCAAAACGCAGTCAAAGAAACCCTGCTAGACTTTCAGTGGGACAGACCTGACATTACTTCTCCCACTAAACTGTACCTGAGGAACCGAAAGACCACCCGAGTCCCTGCACGGCCTAGTGTTTCACAAGAAGATGAGATTGCAAACAACGGGAGAAATGTGATGTTTATTGTCTCCGACTGTCCACGGTCGAGGACACAACTTCTGGACTATCTGGCCGTGGGAAACTGTGACCTGCCCGCAGATGGAACAGAGCTAATCATATCCAAGAGCCTTCAAGATATGTTACTACAGCGACAGGTTGTGCTGCACTGGATTGACAGTTCATCGAATTTCCAGGTCAGTACAGCAGCAAAAAATATAATATTAATACGACCTAATGTTCAAGCGACACTTCCACCAGACAAAGAAGGAAAATTATCTTAAGTCGCTGGAAACTTTATAGTCTGATTTTTCATCCATTTTCATTCAATAATTATTTTAGTCTATACCTGCGTGTTCCTGGAATTTATTCCTAATCCCAACCTACTGATTCTTTATTTGACATGTTTGAATTTACAATTTACCATATGATGTTGTTTTTATTTTAAACATTACATTAGTTTGGAGACTTAACATGTGTATATGTAAAATAAACTGATTTGATAACTGAGGATTAAGGGTAGTGTGGGTCTCTTAGATCTGCTGTTATAAAGTTTTTGGTTATTGTTTGCAAAAAAGCTTGTCATTCACCCATCGTTGATCAATGATCAAATACCTTTTAATTTATTTCTTATTGCAGGGGGAGTGTTCAGACCATCTCGGGGCTGACAAGCTATCAGAGGTAGTGGCTCATCTAGGGGGCAGGATGATACCCATGGTTCCACTGCTGAGCCACTGTTGTCATCGTGAGCCAGACTCGGGCGTCAAACCAGAGATTTTTATGTTCAAATCCAGTATTGAATATCTGCTTTCTTCTGAAAGGCTCTACAAGCTTGCTTTTCCTTCAGTTGAAGGAATTCTGCTCTGGGAGCAAGGTAGGTGTTGAAAATAGATCTCCTCTGATCATCTTTTATCTGGATATTATGTACAAAAGCATGCAATCTAAACATTTCCGTGTTATTCCTCAATTACACCAGGAGATGCGACACAGAGCTGTAGAGTCATGGTTGAGGCAGTGTCTGGTAGACAAATGCTTCTCTCAGAGCCAGTGGAAGTGTGTGTGAAAGGAGTTCTGCGGGATTGGGATGTTTCATCACTGACAGAGTTCCCAACAGAGACATGGATGGTTCACTGTTCAAACAGGAGTGACCAGGCAGCGGCTGTCTTTCAACGTGTCCTTTCAGACTTTTCTAGTCATTCTATGCACATGGTACGATGGGTATCCCAAAATAATTTTAATTGATATGGGTTAAATTGATTTACATGGGTCCGCTTAGTTTTGTTTTTTGGGTTTTTTTTTGTTTTTTTTTCAAAAGACATAATTCATCTTAACCCTATGAAATGTGGCTAGTAATCAAAATATTCTGAAAGTGTTTTAGTTTTAGGAAGTTTAAAAAAGACTGGTGGTCTCTGATCAACAATATTAACATAATATTATGTTTATTACTGATCCTATAATAAACACTCAGGAGAAACCCAAACTCATTATTTATACAGATGTATTTATATGTTGCCTTTAATCTAATTTTATCTTTTAACTTTTAGTCTTATCTTTTTGACTCTCCAGCTTGCAGATGTGAACAACGGTGGTCTTTTGTGCACAGCTGTCCTCTCACCCTTGTCCCAGTCTACAGCTATGCTCACTGTTATACAGCCCACTGTCCCTGTACATAATCCATGGGTAAGCACAGACAATCTTGCCACTGCCTCAGCTGATGCTGCAGCTGACCTGCCTGAGGTGGTTAGCAGTGTTCTTGGAGTAGTATACGACATTATGGAGAAGGACGGAGACGTTGTCTATGGTAAGGAATACTTCAAGAATAATCTGTCAATGTCATGTGTTAAATATTGTTTTGTTGGCTGTTTGTTCATGAATGTTTATGGTTATTATACTTCAGACAA